ACAAATGTTGGAGAGGCTTTGGGGAAAAAGGAACCCTTCTCCACTGCTGGTGGGAATGTAGACTGGTACAACCATTATGGAAATCAGTGTGGAGACGTTTTAGAGAACTTGGACTGGAAATCCCATTTAATCCAGCTATTCCTCTACTGGGAATTTTCCCTGATGATCTGAAAACATCATATCATAGTGATATATGTGTGCCTATGTTTATAGCAGCACAATCTGTGATAGTCAAATCTTGGAAACAACCAAGATGCCCATCACCTGAGGAATGGATGAAAAAGATGTGGTATTTTTATACAATGGAGAATTACTCAGTTATAAAGAATGATAAACTCAAAGTCTTTATATTTAAGTGGATGCCACTTGAAGATATACTCATAAGTGAAATAAACCAGACACACATTTGTAAATATTGTATAGTTCCCCTAGTACAAGAACTCAAAAGAAGAAATACAAATAGAAAGGTATAATACAATTAAAAGGAAAGGAAGAACTTGAGGACTAGACAATGAAAAGAGAACAAGGAGAAGAGCTAGGAAATATGACAGGGGCAAGCCACAGTTTTATATAGAAGATGGTTAAAGCAATGATCCTGAGAATCTTCAGAAGATATTTGAATCTTGCAATTAATTGGAATTATTCTCACCCTGACTAATTATATATACACACATCTGAGAACTAAGCAACTGCACTGAAGATGTCAATTTGTAATAGTAGGTTCTTGCTTGGAGTGCCTGTCATTCTGGTCTTCTGAATACAGGCTGCTTGCCATGACATGCCAGTTGCTACCGTGCTGTCTCTTGGGTAGATGAGTGTTCAAAAAGAAGGGAGTGGTTAATGAAGGCAGGAGACAGGAAAAGGAATGTTACAGGACTGTCCTGCTACAAGGTTGTATAGGGTTAGATTTCTGGACTTATGTATAAACATAAGAATTATATAATTCTTTATGCCTATTTTAAAAATATATTTTAATTTTTTAAATGTTTGTTCATCAAATTTTGCAGGGACTTAAAGCTCAACATATCAATACTTGATGAAAAATACCTGTTCCATGTTATGCCTAAGAAGCTTGATATTCAGACAGATAATAAAGTTAAGCTTAACAGCCTAGGTTGTATGGTAATAACAATAAACTTCTCTTCTGGAGGGGTAACAACCTAAGTTTGCAGACCAAAATTAGAGAAAAAGAAGGGCCGCAAGGAAAGCCATCATTTGGGCCCTAGCCTTCCAAGGTCAATTAAGACTCAGGACATATGAGAACTTGTACTGTAATGTCATGTGACTCAGCAGTATCCCAAATTTTCTGATCAAGGAGATTATGGGGCCAAAGAGGAAAGTGATCGATGATGTAGAGTGTGCCTACAGAAAGTCACATGGAGAGAAAACATTCTCTCAGACTTTCACAGGGAGCACACTGGCCAAGCAATGGCTGTGACTCATCCACATGGCTGACACTGACAAAAGTTCTACAACTGAGGTACAGGATCTCCGGAAAAATCCTAAGGGGATTTGATTGACCTTATCAGATCCAAAAGCTACAACTCTTGTTGCATAGGTCTTGCTTTATCTTGGCCTTAACCATCCAGCAGAAAAGTATAAAAACGAAGTATAAGAAGTAAAGCCATGTTGTTATGTTGAGCTGTATGGGACTAAGGTCAACAATTTCTGACATTGTCGGTCAAGTGGAAGATCCAATACTATTATGGACTACTGGACTCTTTTAGAATATTTTGCCAAGTTAACACATTTATGATATTCAAATGATGGAACTAAACAAAAAAGAGGATATATAAATGAATGACCATTTTGTATCTGTGTATTCAATATGGTTAGGATAGATATATAGTTACATCCTCTCAATGAATAGAGGGATTTGTTCTAATAGTGTTTGTAAATAGGATATCATGTCTGCATCTTGTACAGCAAATAACCACTAGGAAGACAGTATGCAATGTGTTAATTATTGAAACTGTCCTACCAATTTGACTTGAATGAAACTGTCTCATTGCTATTTGTCTCTCAATAAAATTATGGAAAAAAATACATTTTCACTACAGTGCAAATTATATTCACTTCAATAATAATGCTTGTTATCTCACTGAATTAGAGAAAATAATCGTAAAATTCATTTGGAACAGAAGAGACCTAGAATAGCAAAAACAATATTGGGCAACAAAGGCAATGCAGGAGGCATCATAAGCCTTGGCTTGAAACTATATTATAAAGCTACTATAATAAAAATAATATGGTATTGGCCAAAAAAAAACAAAAAACAAAAAAACAAAAAACAAAAAAACCAGGCCCGAGAATCAGTGAAACAGATTAGAAGACACAGAAACAACTCCAGATGTACTCAGCCTCATCTTTGACAAGGAGCACAACACTTTCATTGGAAGAAAGATAGTCTCTTTAATAAATGGTGCTGAAAAAATTGGCTTTTTGCAGGCCAATTAAAAGTAGACCCATATGTTTCACCATGCACTAAACTAAAATCAAAATGGATCAAAGATCTAAATATTAAAACAGATACATCAAATCTGCTAGAAGAAAGAACAGGGAGAATTCCTGAAGACTTTGGTGCAAACAAAGACTTTATGAACAAAACTGTGATTGCACAAGAACGATCACAAAGAATTAACTGTGCTCGCATCTTACTAAAATGCTTTTGCACAGCAAGAGAACTGACCAATAGAGTGAAGAGACAATCCACAGTATGGGGAAAAATTTTGCCAGCTGTCCCAAATGACTAATATTTAGAATATATAAAGAACAGAAAGAAAGAAAGAAAGAAAGAAAGAAAGAAAGAAAGAAAGAAAGAAAGAAAGAGGAAGGGAGGGAGGGAGAGAGAGAGAGAGAGAGAGAAAGAAAGAGATCAGACCACTGTAAATTTAAAGACCCAATCCAAAAATGGGACTCTGAAGTAGACAGATGCTTCTTAGATGATGAAGTACAAATGGCAAATAAATACATGGAAAAGTGTCCAGTACCACTTGGTCATTCAAGATGAAAAACAACACTAAGATTCCACCTCACTTCAGAAAAAGTGGCTATCATCAAAAAAATAATAATAACAAATGAAGGCAGGGCCATGGAGCAAAAGGAACTCCTTACCACTGTTGGTGCAAGTCAAACTGGTACAACCACTATGGAAATCAGTGTAGATTCTTCAAAAACTAGGATTGGAGGCCCCATTTGCTCTAGTTATTCCCCTTATTGCTATCTTCCTGAAAAAATTACAAGCATCATACCACAGAGATATGTGTATATCCATGTTTATAGTGGCAAAGCCTGTAATAGCCAAATCTTTGAAACAGCCCAAATGTCCATAAC